CCCCCCCAAGCGACACAGGCGCGAATTTAACACTTTTTTTGGGAGGATACATTTTTAAAGTCCTTGAATTAAAATCCGAAGTTGAAGTAGATATATTTGGTTCTTGAGTTGCCGAATCTTGAAGATCCTTTTTGATAAATGCAGGTTTTAGCCTTTCTATGGAAACTGTGATCCTTTCCTTTGATTTTGATTTTAAAAATTCTATCGTTGAGTCGTTCGATAACAGGATAAGGTCCTTCGTATGGAGTTTCTAAAGGTTTCCTTGTCGCATCAATCCGTACGAATATATGTGAACATGTATATAATGTATGATAGATAAAGGCTGCTTTTTTGGTGCATAATTTCACAGATTTTTTCTAGAAACGGACGTGGTTCAGTATCAAATTCTTAGTTAATAAAAAACTCATCGGGAAAGCGAAGTGTAGTGCCATAGACGAGTTCAGCTGAAGAACTGTTGCTATTCTCTTTCGCAGGTTCTAAGACCCAGCAGGACAGTAGGCAGGACTTCGATCCAGTTGGAAGAACCGTGGCAAGTTAGGACGGTTTTCAGGGTACGATACCATCTTTCCATCATCCCATTAGAAGCTGGATGATAGGCCGTATGGATTCTTTTGGCTCCGATCATGTTGCTAAGGACCTGAAATAGTCGTGACTCAAATTGGGTACCGCGATCAGTAGTAATCATTGCCGGTGCGCCAAATCTGGCGATCCAGGTTTCGTAAAATGCGTTGGAGACCGTTTCCGCTGAAATATCTGCTATTAGAACTGCCTCAGGCCAACGTGTAAAGCATTTCACCATGGTTAAGCAATACTTTTTATTATTTACTGGAGACAAAGATCCTATGATATCGATATGTATCTGTCGAAATCTTTCATCTGGAATTGCGATTTGCTCCGGTATTGTTTTTACATGTTGCTGAATTTTGTTGCGTTGACATGGGAGGCACATCTTGACATTTTGAGATTTTCTTACGCATACCTGGCCAAGCAAATCATTGAATACGGCCTTGATCATAGCTCTCGTGCCTGAGTGTGCTATTCCATGGACAGTCTTGAAAATCTAGTATCTTAAAGCTGGTAGTACGTACGGACGAACATTGTTCCCTGAGACGTCACAAAACAGGCTCGCTTCTCCGTTGTCCAGCTGCAGTTTACGAAGTTTCAAGGATGAGGAGTCCGAGTCGATAATTTCTTTTAGAGTGTCGTCAATTTGTTGTGCCTTGGTGAGATCCTCTGTGGTTATGATGACTGGCATATTTATTGTTTCTATGTGACTGTATTTTCTTTTCCCGATATATAGACTAAATTTTGTAAATTGAAGTCCAGTTGTCTGAGTTGACGTGACAACGTTTTCTCTGGTTTCTGACGAAATGCAAATGTCAAGGATTTGTGATCTGTTTTAATAATTAATCGCTGCCCCTCGACTAATTGACGAAAGTATTTGAGACCACTGAAGACTGGTAAAAGTTCTCGGTCATACGTACTATAGTTACGTTGGGTATTAGTAAGTTTCTTTAAATAAAATCCCAACGGTTGCTATGAGTTTTCTACATATTGTTCCAATTGAGCTCCCATTCCTCTGTCCGACGCATCTGCAGTAAATCGAAAGATGGCGTCTTCCTTTGGATGGGCCAACAAGGCGGCGTTCGCTAAGAGCTCTTTAGAAGCGTGGAATGTTTCTTCCGCTTCTGTAGTCCAATCGATTGGTTGCTTGTCTCGTTTCTTCACTTTAATGAGATATTTATGCAGAGGAGCTTGAATATCTGTTGCGTTCCTCAAGAACCTCCGGTAGAAGTTAATTACTCCTAAAAATCGGCGTAATTCTTGAATATTTTTCGGTTTAACATATTTTTTTATCACCTTTACTCGGTTTGGAAGTGGACTAGTTCCCTGATCATTAATGCGGTAACCAATATAGTCCACTTCTTCTGTATCAAAGATGCATTTTACAGCGTTTAACGATAATCCAAAAGTTTGGAGTCGGGTGAAAATTTCTTTCAGGTGCTGCTCATGGATCTCATGATTTGGTGATGCTATCAAAATGTCGTCGATATAAGCGTGACAAAATTTTAAACCACGTAATGCCGTATCTAATAATCTTTGAAACGATTGCGCTGCATTACACAAACTGAGTGTTATCACTTTAAATTCGTATAAACCGAACGATGTAATAACGGCGGTTTTCGGTTGATCTTCAGGAGCTACAGGCACCTGATGAAAAGCTCGAGTTAGATCTAATTTGGTAAATACCTTGCATCCATGTAGCGAATAAGCGAAGTCGTGGATATGCGGGATTGGATACCTATCCGGAACAGTTATCGCATTTAAGCGGCGATAGTTCCCGCAAACTCTCCATCCACCAGAAGAGGTAGGAACAAGATGTAATGGGGATGCCCAAGGACTCGAGGAAGGTTGACAAATTCCTTCTATTAGTCTTCTATTAGTTGTTCGAATGCTAGCTTAGCAGCTTTATATTTGGCTAGAGAGAGTCTTCTCGCTTTTTCCGCAATTGGGTTTCCTCTAGTCTTTACATTAAGCCGTTTGCTGTGTACTTTAATCTTACTTCTTCGGATGCTTTATTTGTTCTACAAATATGCCTGCTCCCGTGTCGATTAAAAAGAGTTTACCTGACTTTTTGTCCGAGAGTATCAGGCGATGTTTCAAGGTGACGCTACTCACATTCGCCTGTGTCTGAAGCGGCGAACATAGTTTTTCTGGAGATCATTTGATTTATTCTTCCAGGTGCATGGTTTGCGACATTTCCAGGATTTTTCCCTAAAATAACAAAGCGTAGAGTCCTCCGATTCTCTTTGGGCTGAATTTGAACATCGTCTGCAAGGGTTGTGCGATCTAGACCTACTTCGAGAAGATCTACTTCGGGATCTGCTTCGATGATCCTGGTTCTGTTTCTTCATTAACTTTATGCGGTACATATCAACTTTAGGGGAGGCAGTTCCAATGACCTTGACCTTGACATATGTTGTAGAGATCACCTGAGAGACCCTCCTGAGTGGCAAGCAAAAGGTTTTAGCCGTCGCTCGTTGTTCGTTAAAAAGTTATTAACAAAAGAAGTTGCATAAAATGAATATAATTTTTGGACAACGTATATGTCAAAACATAGAATTTATAGGCTAGGAAGGTACCTGCTACTACCGTGAATAACATTCAAAAGGTTTTAACTGGCGCACATTGTTTCTTAAAACGTTATTCATAAAAAAAGGTACATTAATATCAACACAGAATACATTAAATATTAGGTGCGCAACTAAGTTCTCGCTGTTTTTTTTATGAAAATGCAACTTTATTGTGAAAAAATGATTACAAATGAATCATTCAAAGTATTGCCCATCGTTAGCTACAACTTTTTCCCATCTTTCTGGCAGAGCTCGAATACCGTTACGGTAAAAGCGTTCGTCTTGTGAGGCTATCCACGAATCAAGCCATTTTTTGATGTCTTCATATGAGCGGAACTGCTGATCAGCCAGACCATGTGCCATCGAACGGAACAAGTAATAATCGGACGACGCAATATCTGGGGAATATGGCGGGTGGGGTAGGACTTCCCATTTGAGCGTTTCCAAGTAGGTTTTAACGGGTTTAGCAACATGAGGCCGAGCGTTGTCATGCAGTAGAATCACTTTTTCGTGCCTCTGCTCGTATTTCGCGCAGTTTTTCGCCGTTTTTCGCGCAGTGCTCGGCTCAACCGCAACAATTGAATTCGATACCGTTCCCCAGTGATGGTTTCGTTCGGTTTCAACAGCTCATAATAAATAACACCGACCTGGTCCCACCAAATACACAGCATAACCTTCGCAGCGTGAATATTCGGCCGAGCCGACGACGTAGAAGCATGACCGGGCAGTCCCCATGACTTTCTTTTCTTTGGGTTGCTGTAATGAATCCATTTTTCATCACCCGTCACGATGCGATGAAGAAAACCCTTCCTTTTTTGCCGCTGGAGCAGTTGTTCACAGGCGAAAAAACGACGCTCAACGTCCCTTGGCTTCAAATCATAAGGAACCCAAGTTCCTTGCTTTTGAATCATTCCCAACGCATGCAATCGCTTGGAAATGGCTTGGCGAGTAACTCCTAATGCTGAAGCAAGCTGTTCTTGCGTTTGGCACGGATCCCTATCGAGCAATGCCTCCAATTCAGCGTCTTCAAAGGTTTTTGGCCTTCCTTCACGCGGACGGTCGTCAACATCGAAATCACCGTCTTTGAAGCGACGAAACCAATCACGGCACGTTGTTTCACTTAGAGCAGCATCTCCGTAAACTTTTTGGAGCTCTCGATGCGCTTCAGCCGCCATTTTCTTCGAATGAAATAAGAAAATCAACACTTCCCGCAAATGACGATTATTTGACACAAAATCAGACATTTTCACACAACCAAAAGTATATGACGCCAAAACAAAATCACTAACGTGTCAAAGCGGTTTGTTTACCATATGTCTAAGCTT